CATGCCGAAGTCGAAGGGCGGCTTGTCGTTCGAGGCGGTCTTGTTGCCCTTCCACGCCCCGCTCTTGACCGCCCACTCCTGCACCTGTGTTGATGGGACTGTTTTCCTCAACCACCACCACCACCGCCGTAAGTTGGAGGGGGAGGGGGTCCTCCGCCTCCTCCTCCTCCTCCTCAACCTCCTCCTCCTCCTCTCCGTCCTCCTCCTCCTTCCCCTCTCCAGCTTATGGTGGCGGTGGAAAACAAGCCCATCATGTTGTGCTGCCGGGCGCGGAAGAGTTAGGAATCAGACGACCCGCGCGACCCGAGGGTTCGGGTCCGCCCGCCCCGCTCGCACTGCTCGACGGTGCGAGTCCCTCGACGGCGACGCCGACGGCAAGAGGCGGGGGGTGGAGGAAGTCGAGGGGGGGCGTACGGCCTGGGACGGGTACGCGGCGAGGGCTGACGAGGGAGGCGGGCAGAGGGCAGGAGGAGCGAGCACAGGACATGAAACAGGAGCACCGTCGATGCGTACGGTCATGGCTTCTGCGATGACAGAAGTCCACGGACACGCGTCTCGCCGACGTTTGAGCCTCCTATGTGCCCCAGAGGGGCCACCGATAGACAAGCGCGCTCCACTGCTCGCAAAGCAACTACTCGCAAGTGGCCCGGATCCGACGCGGGGGATGTACGATCCATTCCATCGGGGCAAGCACGATGCTGTCCCGACGCTTGCGAGTAGGGGATTTGGGTGCGGTGGAACGCGCTCACTGGACCAAGGAGTGAACCATCTCAGTGCAGCACATGCTGACAGGCCGATGCAGCTTGGTGCATGTGCGTGGTGTGCCCGTTGCATGCTCTGGTCGCCGCTGCTGGATCCACATCGAAATCCGGATCAGAACGGCTTGGGGGGGGGCTGGAGCGACTCGGCAGAGGAAAATTGTTTCTTGTCCCTTCTCCACCTCCCACCCCCACAATGGCATCCGGGCCTTGCGGTCACTGAGCTCGGTGAACGACGGGTTCTTCTCGAGGAAGGCATCCACCACATCGAATGTGCCCTCGTCCTGCGATTGGGGCCCACCAAGAAACATGTCCACACGCCCCCCTCCCTCGTTGATCCCCTCCCTGCACCACTCCTTCCCGACCCCGCCCCTCGCACCCCCCTCCTCCTATTTCACTCATCCCAACCGCTGCCGACCTACAGCCATACCCCTCCTCATGGGGAGGGGGAAGGGAGGATGTGATGGGAAACGTTCGTCTACGAATTGACGCTCCTGTCCTCACCCCCCATACATACTCAAATATGATCACGCGGAGGGCAATGCAGAAAGACCCGTTGCGCAAGGATCCCGGGGGGTCTGGAAGCCAGATGAACTCAGATCGTGGACTGGCCACGGATATAACATTGTTAGATAAGGACCCCCCGAGCTCTGAAGCCTTCCAGCCTCCCGGGAAAAGGTTTCAACCGATGCCCCCACAGTACTACTTGCACCCCTTCCTGGTCATGTCCTGCGCTCCTGTCTCGCCTACTGCTTTAACACACGTGATATCTGAATTTGACATGTTGTGTACCTTCACTCCTACCCCAACGTTCTTGGCCCTCCAAACGTCATGTCCCCGCAGCGGCGTTCGCCACATTTCATGATCGATGCTTTGCTCCCGTCGTGGAGAACGGCTTCTTGTCCTCTTGGCCCAATTGCTCCTACCGGTCCTCCTCCTGCTCCTTCCCCTCCTCCTACTCCTACTGCTGCCCAGCCCCCTTCCTCATCATGATCCTCTTCCTCCTGCTCACCCGCCACTTCCACCTCCTCCTTCCCCTCCTTCCCCTCGTCCAACGCCCCCCTTGTCTGATTTCGCATCACGCGATGGGGCGACTTCGGGCATGAAGGCCCGCCAGGGCACACATGACGAAGGATAGAAACAAACCAGGGCAATCGTAACTCTGTAGGTTGGGAAGGGGTAAGATGTCATATTTGGCGCAAGCGCGTTTTAACCAGCGATCAGCAGGCGAACGGCGCGGACGTGGGTGCCCCAGCAACGTGCCGGCTTAGTCGGGCATTTTCGGCAGTTGCGCGATACGGCGCGCATCCAAGGCGGCGGGTTATGAAGCGTAGCCCCCCCTCGCGCAGCGCAGTTTGCCAAGCACAAGCAAGGCCTGCCCTCGCGCCAGCAAGCGCTCCTGTCGCCCGGAGCGCGCGCCTCCCAACATGGCCGCCGCGGTCCTCGCGATGACACTGCAGCGAAGGCAGCAAACCTGGCCTGGCTCCCGGGGCGAAGGCAGCGCGTCCACCATGAACGCCCCACCGAGATGGCGGCGAGCATGGCGCCAGCGCTGACGGTTCCGTTTCGGCCGGGCTGCCTGCGGGGCCGCGCGGGCTTGGCCATGCGGGGCGGCGTCCGCTGGGGCGGAGGCTGCGCGGGCACGAGCCCGAAAGCGGACGGCGCACGAGACGCGCCGGCCCCAGCGCTGGCGCGCTGGCGCGGTCGCCAGGGCCGCTTGCTGGGCAGCTGCTTGCACGCGCGGCGTCGCCTCCAGCAGCTCCAGCTCGCCGCAGCGGGCGCGCGACAGCTCGCGCGGCACGGCCAGCGGCGCAGCGGCGGCACTGGAGGCCGCCACGATCTGGGCGCAGGACAGCACGACGCACCTGTCTGGAGCCAAGTCGATGGGGCCCCCGACGACGCGCGCCGCCACCACTGTAGCTTCAGCCTCGGCCCGCTGAGCAATCTGCTGGCCGTCCACCGGTCCGGCGAAGCCGGGGCCTGCGAGTCCCCCGCGCCGCAAGCTCCACGTCGCTCGCGCCAACAGACGGTCGGTCGGGTGGAAGCACCGCCCCGTCGCTCCACACTGCGCGGCGGGGTGTTTTTGGGAGCAGCGCGGCCTGGGGTGGGAGCTGCGGGCCCTCGCCCCTGGCAGCATCTGCAAAGGCTGGGAGCAGTAGATGGGAAGGCGAAAACCTACCTACATCCCCAGTCACGAACCAATCCCCGAACCCGCGATCCAGGGGGTTGGGACTGGGGGTGGGGGTGGCTTTTCGGGGCCCAAGGATGGGGAAAACGCCCCCTCCCCAGTCCCGACCCCTTGCATTGCCGGCTCGGGGATGGGAGTCGGGACTGGGGGTGGGGGTGGGTTTTCGCCTTCTGAGTAGCGGCGCCGCGAGGACACACCTAGCGGCGACGCAGGCTGACAGCAGCTGCCGCAAAGACACGGCGTCCCCGGGCAGCGACTCCGTTCGTGACGCTGCGGCCTGCGCGGCGCGGCGGGGGCCCTCCCACGCTGAGTACAGCCAAAGGCGATGCTCGAGGTCTCCGTAGGCCGGCCCGCAGCACGGGCACGTGCCCGCAAGGCCTTTCCACTTCGCCGCGATGGTCTTGGCGACGACGCTGCCGCACAGGACGCTGCGCAGCGCACCAGGGGCCTCGGGCGCGAGGGCGTCGGTGGCAAGCAGGCGGCGCGTCGCACACCTGTCCACGCCGCTGGCCAGGTGAGCACGGCACAGCCGACGCGAAGCGACATTGCGGCACTCCGCCGAATGCCGCGCGCTCTGTGGATTGCCACGACCGTTTTGCAGGACGCCAGCCGTGCGGCGCTGTCAGCACGCCGTCCGCCACGCAGGCCCTGCTCGCGGAAGCTGCGCAAAGCAGCGGCCACCGGCACGCGGGCACGCCCAGCTCCGGCGTGAATTGCGGCAACCGCACCGCGCCACGAAGCGAGGTCAAGCTGGCCAGTCCGTAGCGCCCGCGCGGCCTGCAGCACTGGCGCGACGACCACCGCTGCCTCGGGTTCGAGGCGGCGCGTGGGACTCAGCACGCCCAACACGATCTCGGCGGCAGCCTGGAGTACATGGCCGTTGGCAGCCTTGGCGGCGCGGCGCAGCCGCTCCAGCTCACCTGCGGCTGAGCGACCGCAACAGGAACCGCCAGCGGAAAAGGCACGGGCAAGCGGCGGATGCGCACGAAGCGACTGCAAGCCAGCTGCACCCGCGCCGCGGCCACTGCGCGCTTGCGCTGCTTGCTGTCGACCGCGGCGACTCCGAGGTCGCGGATCTCGGTACCCATAGAGATCGACGGCATATCGAGCGGGAGCCACCGCCGCACCGAAGCCATGTTCCCTTCTGACCGCATGCTAGCGCCACTGGATGTCTGCCTCGTACGCCCAAGTGAGCGGCAAAGCCTTGGCGACGGCCTAGGCAGTCTGGGCTGGGTCTCCGTGCGCTCACATCGTCAGGCCGTCGGCATGCACTCGGCGCATCAGGCCGTCGTGCATGTTCCAGTGCGCCTGTGCCAAGGCCGCAGCAGGACGCTCAGCGCGAAAACGGCCAGCACGCATCCAGGCGAGATCCGCTCATCAGTAACTACCCACGGGCTGACGAAGGCCCGATCGACTTGCTGTCAGCGAGGCGACGTGCAGATAGCGAGGAGGGGGCCGAGAAGCCACGCAGGGACGCTGGCGCGCGTCAGCACCCGCTCCAGGAGCTGAGCTGCAGGCTGACGTGGTCGAAGGCCCGTCGCCAGTCCAAGGCGCTGCCGCGGATGGCCTCTCCCGCGGCCCCCGCGGCTTCCGCGGCCTCGAGCTCACGCGCGGGGTCCCACGCAAGCTCCTCGGACCCAATGCTGCAACCGCCATCATCTCCCCAGGACGCGCGCCGTCGCGCAAACAGCTGCGCCCTCCCCGCGGCCCAGACGCGGTAAAGCATTGGGAGCAACCATATCGGCCTGCGGCCCATGGGCCCACCATCGCCGCGCTCAGGAAACAGCAGCCCCTCGGGACGGCGCCGCTCCTCTGGCCAGCGGCCGGCCTTCTTGGCGGCCCCGAAGAGCTCCGTGATCCGTGCGAGCAGCGCAGAGGGCAGCAGGCCCAGCTCCGCGACTGCCCATCCGTCCAAGCGGGGGGCCTCGTCCTTCCCCATCTTCTGGAGGATGGCGCGGATGAGGTCGGCCGTCCATGACACTCGATCAGGGACGGGAGGTACGGAATCCAGCTCGACAAGCCACTGCTCGAGGTTGGGCATCTCAGCAGCACGCCGCCGCCACAGCGCCAGCGGGCCTGGGCAGCTGCGCCCCCCGCACGGGCCACGCAACTGCGGCCTCCGTACTCCGTACTGGCTCCAGGGGGGGCCGGCACAAGAGCGGCAGCCAGGGCGCCGTCCGCCTGTAGAGCCTACCGCCTCCCATGGACAGTGTCTGGCGCGACCACTCGTGCCAAGAGTCGCGACAGAGTCCCAAGGAGCTCGTTGCGCCTCCTGGTGCTCAGGCTCGGCACGCTGGGCGCAAGCCTCGAGCAAGCCCGGCACCGTCGTGAACCCCTGCAGGTCCACCGCCCAAGCGCTGCCGGCAAGCTCGCCCCTGCACAGCGCCGACGCGGCGGCCCGCGCAGGGTGGCAACCGAGGCCCCACCGCCTCGCGGCACGCTGCAGGGAGCGCGGCCGGCGGAGCCAGAGCAGAGCGGCATCCGCAGCCTCGTCAGCAGCCTCTCTGCCTGCGCCTGTGGCTCGAGGCCGGCTCGCCTTGCCACTTCGCAGCAGCGTGCTCCCGCTCGATCGGCTGCAGGTGGCCCGTGCGGCGGCTCAACCACACGCGCAGGGCTGCCCCCGGCAGACCCCCGAAACAACAATAAAATCACCGTCGCGGAATGCGGCGCGAAAAGCCGCAACGTGCCGCGCACGACCTCGTGTCTGGCGTGAGCACGCCTGGCTTGCATCTCTACATTGGCTCGATGTGTATGCTACCCTCCTCTCTCCCCTGATGCTGCCAGGCGTCCAAGTGCCACACTGCCTAAAACGTATACTGCTTGCTTCACGCACAGCTAAAGAACACATGTTCCCATGCTTCGATGTAACCTTTCAGATCCTTCAGAAATGGTGTTCCCGCTCAAGCGTTAGCAACATTTCAGGACCGGCGCTTTGTCCCCGTCGTTCAGAATGGTGCTCCCGCCAACACGCGGGCCGCATCCGTGGATCGGACTCCTTCCTCGTCGATGCCGCCCTCCCCATGTTTCCCATCAGCAGTCCGTTTATCATTCTGCTCATACTGCTCCTGGTCCTGCCCTTCCTTATGCTCTTGTTCATCTTCCTCCTCCTCCACATTCCTCATCCCTCATCCTCCTCCTCCTCCTCCTCCTGCTCCTCCTCCCCCTCCTCCTCCTCATCCTCCTCTTCCTCATCAAATGCACCTCCTTCCTGATTGCGCATTACACGATAGGGTCACTGAGGAGGGTTAGAGTCCTCCAAGACATCTCAGTCAGGAGATCAACGCAATGGGAAGGGACTGGCGGGAATGGTCGGATGTTAGATAGGGCACAAGCGCACCTGGGTTGAATTTTCCCACTCGCCATCCTTCCCCTGATCCTCCGCCACTCCCGATGCTCCCTGTTTACCTTCCCCTACGCCCTTTTCATTATCCTCCTCCTCCTGCTCTGCCTCCTCATCCACCCCATCCTTCTCATCTCCACCTCCTCCCCCCTCCACCTCCTCATCCCCCTCATGGGACCAGCTGCCTCCGAACCAATGACTGCTGTGTGCGTTTGCCCCCCTCGTCCGGCATGCCCACTGGGAACACCACCGTGCTCTTTGCCGCGGGGGCAGGCGCCGCCTTGGGACAGGAAGCCGCGAAGGAGGAGGAGGAGGAGGAGGGAGCAATGAGGGAGCAATGAGGGCGAGGAGGAGAAGAAGGATGAGAGGACAGCAAAGAGGAAATTCGGTTTGCGTGTTTGCTCCAAGGGTTCTATGGGGGCTCCTTAGGAGGAGGAAGAGGAAGAGGACGAGGAGGAGGGGGAGGCAAAGGAGGAGGTGAAGCATGCGGGAGAGGAGGAAGACGAGCGAGAGGAGAAGCTTAACGAGATTGGGGAAGGAGGCCAGAACATGACGGAACGAAAATCCACAAGGTCTCAGGGGGCTGGAGGAGGCGGAGTATGAGTAGGGAGGCAGAGGAAGAGGATGAGTTCTTGTTCAGCCGTGGATGCACAGTATCCGAGAAAAAGGCCTGGGCACCTCTCCGTCACGACGTCCATCTCCGTTCCCACGAACTCCGCGTCGGGGCGGCTTCATGCCGGCGCCCTTCGCGCGAGCGAAAAGCAAACAATCGCTCAGGCGAGAATCCGCTCGCCGCGCCGCCGACCACCAGCTCCTCGACCTCGACCGCCAAGGGCTGCCGCACCGCCGCGCCAGCAGCGCGGAGCGCGAGCTCCCTCCTGCGAGCGGCCCTGGCCGCGCCAGGCGGGAGGCCACCAGCCCAAGCATCGCCCAGACCATCACCAGCCCTCCCCTCCCCTTCCCCTCCTCCCCCTCCTCCTCCTCCTCCTCCTCCTCCTCCTCCTCCTCCTCCTCCTCCTCCTCCTCCTCCTCCTCCTCCTCCTCCTCCTCCTCCTCCTCCTCCTCCTCCTCCCTCCTCCCTCCCTCCTCCTCCTCCTCCTCCTCATCCTCATCCTCCTCCTCGCCCTCCCGCCCACCTTCTCCTCCTCCTCCTGCTCGTCCTCCTCCTCCTCCTCCTCCTGCTCCGACCCCGCTCCTCTCAGGTCGAGCACACC